CACACACACACACACACACACACACACACACACACACACACACACAGCGTCCTCCGATACTGATGTCTTTGATACTGTAGTAATACTGTAAAATCACAACAATACACACAATATTCAGATACACAGTATGAGAAAAAAAAAGTTTATATTCATGCAAGTAAAAACATTGTCCTTCAGAAATATTTTTTTCCACATTATGTTGAATTATTCCGATAAAAATATGTTACCAGTGCCATTTTTGTACCTTTTGATCTTAAAAAGTAAGAGGGCATCCAAAAGTTAATTAATTAAGGATTGGTGGTAATGTGCAGGGAGGTAAACAATGGTGGATTTGAACTAAGAAGAACAAAAATGAATGTATTAACAGAAAAACTGTAGTGCCTTTAGGAATAATAGCTAATTAAAAGCTGGAAATACGTTTTATATGTATATAAAATATATACATTTTTGTAATAAAAATGAATGTATTTGACTATTTTTGTTGCACCAGGGAATCGTTTCATGTGCATGACAAGCTGTAAGCAGAAGTGTTTTCTTTTATCAGTCATTTTTTGGAAGAATATGACACCAACATATCAGTCCTAGTTTATCCCATTTCTTTACCCTGCGTGTGACAGTGGGGTCCCGCAGAGCTTTGCCCATCAGGTGTCCCAGCAGCGTGTTGGTCCTCAGGAAGCGCAGCTTGATGTTGGTTGCCTTGGTGAAGTCCCTGAGGACCGGAGAGTAGGAGAAGTTCATGGCCCCAGGCCGACCGTTCACCAAGGACACCACGACCTTGGAGAAGAGGACAGAGACTATCAGCTGAGCAACAATGTGGAAATATGAAAGATAACAGCCTGGGAACGTCCCCACAGAGAGGGATGGTATTCACAATATGATACCATGGCAACAAAGTAATCTATGTTAATGATTCTATATTGCATGATCTTACTACAGGATGGTTTTCCTGACTAATACATAAAGCGTTTAAATGATGTTGTTGAAACATGCCCTATTTCAGTGTTTTGTTATACCATTTTAGGATGAATATAGAACATTCCAAATCATTTATAATAACCTCTTATTAAAAAAAAAGTTAATATTAAAAACTGTGTAAAAACGTTGAGAGAAGATGTTTAGGCCACACATGATATGCAAATCATATGCTTAATGTTCAGTGCTGCAACTAACACATTTTATAAACGTGTCTTCTAATATATTTGTATCCATCTCATTAATCTACTTGTTTTTTTTCTCTATGAAATACCGAAAAATAGTAAACAAAATGTCCATCACTATGTTCCTGTATCCAGTCCAAATCTTTAAGATATTCAGGTCCCATAACCTCACATTATTACATTTGAGTAGTTGGAAGTAACTTATTAAATTTAGTGTGTGGGAATTTTTCTGTTGATCGTCTAATTAATAGATACACAGACACGTTTCTTCAGCTCTACAGGTGTGGCGGGGACGTTCAAGCACTTTCACTCAAACACACACTCACCTCTCCATTCTCCAGCGGGACGATACGGGAGTATTCAGTGGTGCAGATCACGTCATTATCATTGCTGATCCTCTCGATGCTCTGCTGTCCAAAACGCTCAATACAGTCTCTCTTTGAGGCTACACACACACACACACACACACACACACACACACACACACACACACACACACACACACACACACACACACACACACACACACACACACACACACACACACAGAGGGAGAGAAAGGGGGGAGACAGAAAAGAGAAGCTTCTAATCAGTCTTAACCTCATATTGGCAAACGTGTGAACATCCCATCATGTTCAAAGTGAGCAGTGTGAACCATCTTGATTTTAATGATGAGTCTCAGTGTGATAATTAGAGGAGGGTCTCTGGTTGGTGGAGGTCTGTATTTTAGTCCTCACTTAAATATAACCCAGCTGCATGTTCAGCTTCACAACAGCTGCATTACAGCTTCATCACCTTCCACTGAATAAAGTGGAAAATACATATAGAAACTACCGATTGTATTTGGATTAATTTATTAATAATTTAACATAGAAAGAAACCAAATTATAATTTCATGAAATCTGAAAACAAAAAGATATCCTTTTTTTTACGGATATAAAAAAATAGAATCTTCCAGTTTGTGAAGCTCAGGAGATAAATGACAAATAATTTACTATCACAAAAACTTTTTTTTTTTAATTAAAAAATATCAAAATGGTGGTTGACTCGTTTGCTGTTAATCGTTAGTCCAAATAATTAACATGCCTTCTACATTTTACAATCCGTACTAAAGTGAATTCAAGTTCATGTTATTTAATGTAATCTCATCCTATGAACGATGGCTGGTCAATCTTGCTTAAGAGAATCTTTCCTCGTCCTTTTAGGAATATTCAAACTGTAAAAGTGTGTGTGAGAGTTTGAGACTTCAGCTGGTTTAATTCACATTGTTTCTAGAGCACATTCCCAGAATCGCTTCACTTTATCTCTGAAGTGTCCTTGACACAGAAGAAGAGTGAAAACATGACAGAGAAGAAGAGGAGGAGGGAAGGTAGATTTTATAATGTCAATATCCCCCCCCCCTTTGTGTGTGTGGTGTGTGTGTGTGTGTGTGTGTGTGTGTGTGTGTGTGTGTGTGTGTGTGTGTGTCTGCAGTTAACAGCTGCAGCAGTTCAAACTCAAACTTTGAAATAGCTTTTGAGATTTACAGCTTTGAGGCCAACACTAATTTACTCTGTACGGTTTACTGTACACACACACACTGACACACACATTCTGTTGCCTTCCCTCTGGGTGAAATGTAAGTGTGTTATATTTTACTTTGTAAAAAAACGATCTCTACAGTAGGGCTGCGCCACTTATGGGAGGTTAATGAGTCGATCTAACCAAGATATTAAGCAGATTTTTAGATTAAATCCACTTTTCTGAGCAGACAGGAGCGGACCTCCCACTCAGTGCTGCTCTGGCTCCACAGGACTAATTGCCAACTGGCTCCGAAGAATATACGCGACCAAATGTGATTGGATTTCGGGGGTGCATACTTCAGCAGAAAATTATAAGCAATTTGCGAGTTCAGGTCAGCTGATGGTCAGTGTCTGTCAACGGTTCGTCATAAGCCCGGGAACCATTTTGCAAATTTTTTGAAAGCTTGAAAATTGAACTTAAAAGCAACATGTAGATCATCTCCTAAAAGGTGGGCTTGCAAAAATGTGAAAAAGTTTACATTTTTGCCTGCAGGTTCTTCCATCAAAGCGACCTGAAACTAGTCAATGTTGTGACAGTTGGCTGCAGATATTTGCTTTTTAATTAATGTACAGGCAATTTCCCGATCAACAACAACTCGCAGGCTTCTCAATCTGGTTTGGAAATCATTTAACAATACAGTAGTATGCATGCAGTAATGTATACACCAGAAATCTGTCATCTTAAAAGTGAAGATCACAGACTGTATGCTGAAGAATTTCCAAGTTGTCCTTCAAACTTTGAAGATCTAATTTGTCTGCCATCTGGTACACCTGGAGTAGTTTTTAATAATGCCTATTGATGCCACACACACACACACACACACACACACACACACACACACACACACACACACTTCTCCCCAGGTGAACATCAAGCCGCGGCCTGTAAGCAGACATGCCTGGAATTCCCCTGCAGCCCACCTGTAGACTGATAGCTGCCTAAGCCAATCAGCGGGCAGCTCTAGGATGTAATGACCACCCCCTCCCCACTATACCCTGACCACCAAACCAACAGATCAATTAGCCGCCTGCCCTCGAGGCTGCTGTTTAACTCTGAGATTAGAGGGAGAATTAAGAAGAAGCCTGGGGGGGGGGTTAGGTAAGCATGAGGTGATGCTGATGGAATTTGACTCTGTCTGCTCCAAGTGACCAAACATCTGGAGGCACACACGTGTATGTAGAGGAATATATATATATGTGTTTGTACTCACAGGCAAAGTACTGCCAGGGTTTGTAGGTCTGCCCGAAGTCGACGGATCTTTCCAGAACCCAGAGGTCGGGGCGGGGAGAGTTAGCAAACTTAATCAACACGTAGGCCACGTGGAAGAGCTGCAGGGAGACAGAGAGGAGGACATTCAGGTTAATCACATATTCTAACATGTATGACTTTGGTGAACTTTATCCAGAGAAAGAGAGGAAACAACTCAAACAAATCCAACACCCAGCTGCAGTACAAATGTATGATGATATGTATGTCGAGTGTCATTAACCAACTAACAACTTGATAACTTCCTCATTTAATATCTGCATATTATCCCTTTCCTTACATTCATTTAGTCGATAAAGTGGAATACACGCAGGACACAACTGATTGGTTATAAAAGGGAAATACATTTTAGTTAATGAGCATTTAGAGAAACAACGAGTAAAGATAAGGTCAAATAATGAAGAGGAACGAAAAGAAAAAGGATTTTATAGGAAAGGAAAGGAAACAGGTAAAGGAGTGAATATAAAGGCATTGTAAAGAGAAAGGAAAGCAAGAAAAGGAAACAAACAAATAGGGTTAATGAAAGGACAATATATGAAAAGAAAACGGAAGGGAGAGTAAGGAAAGGATAAGACATGAAACAAAAGAAAGACAGAGAAGGACTTGATAAGAAAACATTTAAATAGGAAAAACAGGAAATGAAAGGGATAAATAAAAAGACAGGAGAAGAAAGAATAGGAAAGGAAATGAAAGGAAAGGAAGGAGAAAGGAAATGCTAATGGCTAAAGCGAGGAGAGAACCACATGAGCTAATCAAAATCAGTTGTGGTGAACAAGGCAAAGACTTCCAGCTTCTAATAAACTCAGTCAGCCGTCAACATTTAACCTGTGTGACTTCTCCCCTCCTGAGTCACGTCGAACACTACAGTACGTCTGATCTGTCGTGTTACATGTACGTTATTATCAAAAAGCTGATTCCTGTCAGTAATGAGCACCAGATGCTGCTCCATCACACTCTCACGTTTCAGCCTCCTCTCTTTCACTTGTCATCCCTCATTCATTTCCTGAAGCTGCTCGGACGGCGATGACAAACTGCTCTCCTGGAGACGGGGGAGTTCAGCTGCACTGTTTTGTCTGTCGGACCTTGAAATCGCTCCCCAGTTGAAACAGAACACACTGGAATAACACCGTGACGCACATAATAATATTAGAGCTAATCACAAACACCTCCGATTTCTACATCGGTCTGTGAGTGTTGGAGTGGTGAGGGCTCAGTTTTGAGTCATTGAGTTTTTATTAATCTGCAAAGACTTGGTAATTATTCACGTTTTTCTTGGGTTGTGAAATGGTTTGTCCTGTCTTGATTTAGCACGAGGAAACATATTCATGAGAAGTAATTTTCGACAGGACAACTATTTGTTTTGCTCTGGTTTTGTTCTTTTGACCAAGTCTTTACAAAATGTCATGATTTATATAATTTTATCCCGTGAGACATTTTTGTAAAATTGCAATAATAAGCATCTGGATCCTCGAGTCATGGTCCAACCCGGGCTCCAAGATTTAACAGTGACTTTGACCATTGACCACCAAAATGTAGGCCAATCATTCAAGAAAACATAATCAGTTCATCTTTGTGTGAACATTACTGCCACAACACGGTTCCTGGAATCTTTCTTTCATGGGAATTGGAAGGATGGGAAGTCACACCTTGACCTTGACCTCTAACGTCTAATCAGTTCATCCACTGTTGACCAAAAGGTTTTTCTCACATCAGATTAAAAATATGACTTACGACCTCCTTTGGGTCTTTGCCAGGAACTGTTGTTGTTCCCCATTCACCATCTGTCTATCCCCTTATTAACTGTCAAATCTGAAATAAATTGTATATATTGTTCTTAGATGGGGACAATGCAATTTAAAATAGTTCAAATTCAGAGCATTAAACGAAATGTATTGAGAGTTTAGAGTTGAAGCTATTTTCTGACTTTTGCCTTAAACAACACTTTGAAAAACAAGATGATGTTTTAAACCTCGGATCACAAAAGGTACAGAAGAAGAGTGTCGTTTTTCAGCTCCACTGCAGGTCATGACATGACATGATATGTTACTACACACATGAAGTGTTTAGACAGCATGACATTTGACCCACACGGAGGATGCAGTGATACATTTCAGGTTATTTCAAAGCCTTTACACCAACAGGGATTTGTTGAGAATTAGCTTTCTAGGGAGGCATTCGCGGTCTTTGAATTTGATAGTTGACAGCTGTAGAGGGAAGGGGGGGGATGGTGACATGTACTACGGACATTATGTGGTATTATGGCTTGTAAATACCAAAGGGAAACATAAACGGTTATTAAAGTGTTTTCAGGAGATCATTAATTGAGAGACTTCAGGCAAAGGTATATCATTTAGAATTTTGCGCTCAATGAGTTCCTCCTTTCAACTAATTTTCTTTTCAGCCTTTTATGTCCCTTTTTATATACTGTGTGTACATATAAAGTCATGAAACAAAAGTTTGAGATTGGTTAACATTAAAATCTCCAATGCACAAGGGTCAGCTACAGGGGACATAATTGGGGAACTTTTGAGAGAAAAAAGTTTGAATTTGTGAATTTAAAATAAACGTTTCTTACTTTTTTGTTCACGTTACGAGAAGTTCAACTTTGACCTGTTCATTGTCTCACTATAACAGCACAAACTCTCTAAACTCTAATGCTCCTCTATTCCCCCATCTCATAGGCAGCTCTGTCAGAGGTGATGACATCACACACAACACACTTGCACACACAAATACACAGACCTTCAAAAACTAGTACTAGTCCATTAACAAGGAATGCCACAAGTGTGTGTTTCAGGATGATGAATGAGGGGGACATGTCATCGTTTCTCTGTTTACAGAAGAACAAACTCAAGTTCATCAATCCATCTCCATCTCTCCAAACATTCGTAATCTATTATTCCAAACAAAAGGACCATGGAGAGCTTTGTTAGTGTCATAATATTACAAAACTGTGACTTACAAAACAGCTATTTCCAGCATTATTCAACAAAAAGAGAAGGCCGTTTCTATTCAGTCATGCCAATTTGAATTTGACATTTGTATTTTATTTCTCTTCTCAGATCGCTTTTGTTCAACTAGTAGAAAGTAGGTATCCAAAAAGTTCCGTCAGCATGTATTCAACAACTCTAAACAAAAAGAAAGCAGTCGGGAGAGACTTGTGTGAGCACTCCGTTCATTTTAAGAAAGTTGATTATTCTTCAAACAGAAACAATACTGTGGATCTAAGCCTGTATGTCTTTGTGTATGAAGGAGATCTAAGAGGACAGGAAGCAGAAAGCGATGCCTCGGGGCTAAAGTCATTGAAAGAAAAACTCCAGAAGCATTCCTCTGATTCCAGGGTTAAAGTTTGACCGGTTCAGGGAGCACCTGAGGTTCAGAGGCCATCCTTTGAAGCGCAGACACTTCTAAATGAAACACACGACTGAACAGGCAGAGAAATCAGGTGAACTTCAGAGCTGCCTGACAACCTTCATCAAGAAGACATGGCAGCTTTCAACAGTCATTATATCATGTTTTATATTTGAGCCACAAGATGGGAAACCTGGTGTTCCAGCAGGTAGCAAAAGCTGAATTGAAAAAATATACGTCCAACTTGCTTTATACAGGCTTTTGATTGGAAAGGTCCAGCTTACTTACATTTACACTTGCATGATTGTCCCCAAACATTTTCTTTATCTAATCGTTCAAGTGCCACACGTTTACACCTGGTTTTAAAGTCCTTCTTGCATGAAGGAAGGGACTTCAGTCTGATAGCTACCTACAGTAAAACCGGCTAAAACAAGAATGATATGTGGCATTGGATGGTGAGCTCTTCTGGGGTGCATTTTGCTTGTTTGGTCCAAAGAAATTTAATTTATTTTTCGCTATCATTTTTTTAGGTGTTATATAGATAAACTCAACATTTCTGTGTAAGATTGTGTTAGACAATTAAGTTTCGGCTGGCAAAAATGTAAAGAGATTCCGAAATAAATAATCATAAGCATTAGAGCTGAATAAATGAAGTTGAGTTATCGATAAGTGAAACAATAGAAGTCATTTTTAATGCAAAAACCGCAAACTAGAATAAAGTGCACAATTCAACCGCTCTAGTAATCTCTCACTATCAGCGGTCTGTCTCCAGGTCTCAGTGGGAGTCAGTCTGTTGCCTGGCCTCACACACACACACACACACACACACACACACACACACACACACACACACCCACACACACACACA